CCTCCCACCTGCAAGCAGAGTAGGCGTAAAGATAGAACAGAAATTGGTATCTACCTCTCTTAATTTCTTAATACCACAGTGTTTCACAACTTGCTCATATTGCTGCCCTCTGCTCCCTCTACAGGATTTCTATCTGCTGGAGATCTGCTGCATCAACATGATCTTCCCCGAGGATACGCATCAGTCTGTCATGCTGGAATTTATATAAAGCCTCCTCAATATCAACAAAGAAACAGAGAGAAATCCATTCGTACCAAGGCACAATATCTCAGGCTTAGGATTGCTTACGTTACTCTGACTCCTGAACATAAACTGCTTATAGGATGACTTCTATCTTTTTATATTCAGTGTACTGCTATATGTTCCATCAAGAGTTTAAAAAAATTTAAGGGCATAGTTTATCGAATGCGTAGCTCACTGCCAGTTACTGTCTGTGGCACTAGCAACTGTTATATAAGAATGAGGATTTTTGAAGCTTTCCTTCAAAGTATTCTGCGTGTAACTGGTTAGAAAGTCTAAGCTACTTTGTTTTGAAATATTAAGTGGCTATGGCATTTCATGTGTAACACCACCCTCCTCCAGTGCTCTTTCACGCTCTTTACTATTTACGTTTTATGTCAAAATTTCAGAGCATCTTTGAGGATCTGTCCTCAGGTTTATGAGAAAAATAATTTTAAAGCTCTGTACTGTATTCTTGCCTGTCTTTCCAGGATATTTTTTTATTTGTAGCATACTTAACTGGTTTTAATTTTCATATGACTGACATGCTTTCCTTCTTTAGAAACTTCCTGGTGCTGCAGGTAGAGATTTTTGAGGTGTTCCTTTGCACTTCTTCTGGCTTTTAAAATTCCTTCTTCTCCTATCTTTATTTCAAAGTTCCTACAATTTTCAAGATCCTTTCTGTAACTGGTGGTTGCTTATCCTGTATCTTTTCACCTCCCAGCACGAGGTAGTTTTCTACACAAAAGTTCTGAAATCCCTTCAGTTTTCTTCTGTGTCTTTCCTCTCTTCTACTCATTGAATCTTCCCTTTTAAGTCTATTCCTCATGTTTGTTTCATTTTCAAGAATTTGAAATATTTTCTATTTTACATTCTTTCAAGCTTATCCTCAGTTAGAGAATCTGTTGATCACGGTATGTAGAATGAAATTTGGATATTGCAGTATTATCTGGCTTCCTGCAGGACTGGCTTTTCTGTTCAGCTGGTTTGATGCTGAAACCAGAAATTCCCGATAATATCATCATGTCTGTTGTTTACAAATTCAGTCAACCTTTTTTCTCTTTGACTCTTAAGTACAAAGCTGGGAACTCCCAATTACACTACCTATACAACTGCTTTATATTCTAGCGTTAGCACTATAATAAAATTTTTCCAGTCTTTACTCTTTCTGCCTGCTCTCCAGTTCTTTGAAAGGACTGTTCCTTACATCTTCTTGTAAACCTTCGAAAGGGCATGAAAGATTAAAATACAGAGCCCAGATGGCAAGGTATGTAATCATACACAGATCGCATTCCCAGAGTACTAATAGCCAGGCTCTTTTTAAATTTTTTTAAATTTTTTAATTTCTCCTATGTAATGTCTTCATTCACCTTAAATTATCGTATCATAAGCATTTCCTAGCTCTATACATTTAATTTCACAGATTTCCATACCAGTATATTTTCAAGTGTTTGCTCTCCTGCAAGCCATTTAATTTTACAATTAATGTTTATACTCCATGCAGTAATCTTCAATTTAAGGGTTTTTTCCCACCAATCTTTTACATATCTGATTTTACAGAAGGAAATCTCTATCTTACATCAGTTTCTACACCTGGATGATTAACCCCAAACTGGTAATTTAAAAATAATTTAAATAAAAAAATAACATTTTCTTTAGATTTTCATGTATCCTTGGAAGTGTCTAGTGAGTTTCAATACAGAAGTTTAAAAAACTTCTGCATAATTATGGAGTTCCACTAGAAAAAAGGATATTAATAGAGTTAAAGACATAAATGGAAGGCTTAAAGGAGAAGAAAATTCATTGTTAAGATGCCTCATCTCATCCTCTAAATGACTGTAAAATTTTCTAGCACTGGTAAAACGACACCGATCCCTCTACTGTCATTCTGAGATACAGCTGAACCATTTCATCTGAAGCTTCCCAAATGATTCAGCTTGAGGCAGACACTCAAAAACCAATCTGAATGTTTTAAATTTGGCAAAGGTACAAGCATTTAAGAAGAGGATTTCATACCTGTAAATACTCAGCAAGCTGAGCTGGAGGCATCCTTATTTGCCTGAGCTGTAACAACTTCCCTGATCAGATGCAAACAGCTGCTTCTGAGAAGCCGCCGCTTTGGCCATGCTTCAGTACCAGGTAACGCAATTTTTATGCACTGTTGTGGTAAAGCAACAGGGATCTTAATTGCCAGAAAAAATCTTCCTCCCTATCAGCAAAAATTAATCTCTTGCCAGAGGTGGTGGAAGCTCTGCGTTTGGCAATACCGAGAATAAGACTGGACTGAGCATTAGAAAATGTGCTGTATGATGGGAGCTGAGACGTCCCTGGTGTAAACGTTTATTTAAATGGAGCTATAGACCCTTCATTTAGAATTTATTTGGCCTGAAAAGGAGGAAAAATTCATGAGATTGGCATACAGCACTTGTGTGATTACACATGCATTTAAGAAATTCCTTCTGTGAAGGCTTCAAGAAGAACATATATCACAATGAGAAAGCTTTAGTAAGCAGCATTGTTTATAGTAGAATAAAAGCTCTAAAATGTTTTGCTATAGCTTCCTAACAACCATTTGCTTTTAATCATTACCATATTAAAATACTGAGCAGGAAATACCATTAGAATAAATTTTGAATTGATCATGGCAATAAATAAATGGAAGGAACTTGTTATTTGCAGATTTCCTCTGTGAAAAATACTGCTTAGCGAGACTGTACCTCACACGTAAAAGGAATGCTGAAAAGCGCATTCGACATTGGTATGCAAGGTGCAGAATAAAAAATATGCAGGGAGGGAGTTTTGTGCACTTATTAAGAGTAGTAGATTGTAACAAGATTCCCAGAGACTGGCAGTCCTTGCATAAATGCCTTGAACAAACACTTTCAAATGAGGCTGTCTCAAGCTGATTTTTCCCTATTGCATTCAATTTTGAAGTTTGCTGCAAAACACCTGAAGCATCCCTACGATAGAGTTCACAAGGGGTGACCCTTCAGTGATTCTGCTCTCTCCTCTGCCCCGAGAGAGGCAGGGACAGCCCCAAAGCTGAGGAGAACCTGCTCTTGCAAGAGTTACGCTCTAGACTTCAGTCTCCTGTGGCTTCCTCAACACATGCACAGATGGGAATGCCAACATGAAATCACCAGAGAAAATTTTAATATTTAAGGAGAGCAATAAGAAAGCAGTTAAGAGGAAGGCTGAGTCTAAATCAAAACTCAGGAGGCTTCCCAGATGGCCTTGACCCAGCGTCTGGCACATACTGATCCCCCCATCATAGATCAGCATAGCTGACTGGAGATGGTAACTTTAAACATGCCATTTAAAATGTAAAAATCTCCAGGCAGCAGTTCGTATCTCATGCTTTTAATTATCAAGGAAAAATTGCCTCTCTGTGACTTTATAATACAAGCAATAAACAATGAGCACCTGAGTTTTCTGGGGTATTTTAATAGGACCTGGAACGTTCACCTGTATTAAGTGAGTACAAGACAACTTCTGCTTTCTATACTTGAGTTTCCATATTTTAATGCTCTTATCTTCCTAATTGGAGAACTGTCATTTTTATCAAAACAGTTATTCTGTTTGGATTAAGCCTAACAGGGCCCTTCTGATTTTTTAATGTACTTTCCATGCTGTAAACAACAACAAACAAAGCTTCCACAAATGGCTTACACAGAGCTGATTTGGGGTGAATCTTTTATGGTGTGCTACCTAAAGAAGAATAAAAATCATCTTGCTATGCCATTCCAAAATTGCAAAGGTATTTTTGAATTTTGGAACTTGTATCACCAGTTAAAAATAAGGATAATTTTATCATTTTTGTGCAGTATAGCACTTTGTTGATGCTGTTGGCAAATTATTGCACTTCCAGAATGCTTAGCATTTAGCTCAGTGACATAAGCATCACATATGAATTCCTATAATTGCTTTTAGCTAAATTCTACATATAGAGAGCTTCCTTATAGGCTTGAAATAGAGCAAAAATTTAGTCCTTTTAGGGGAATGAAATGCAGAGAATGAATTGTATTTGGGTTCTGATGACTTCCTAGGATGTTTCATTTGAGATGCACTATGAAGATGAGGGAAGATAATTCACAAGGTTTTGACAGTGTATGGAGCAATCTATTTTGTGTCTCTGTTTTAAATGTTTGGGATGCAAATATAAATGTGCTACAGTACCCTCCATTCCAGCACTGCAGCTATAGTTACAGATTATTCCTTTTGGCTTGGTGTGATTCACCTCTGTTTCACACTGGATGATTTTTATGTTCCTACTCAATAAATTAACTCAGTCATTTTAGTTGCAAATCCTTCTCTAATGTTAACTGTTATGAGAGACAACAAATAGTCATGCAGCATCACGTAGAACTGAATAATGTTTGCAGCTGGCTCAGCCCAAACTAAGAGTTTCTATGGAATATTCTTTAGTTTACCATGGAAATCTATCCGTGTCTATGGAAACTCTGACCATCTGCACATGAATGTGCATTCCATAACTTCATCAGAGTTTTTATTAGGAAAACTACAAAGAATTTCCAATTTTAGGGCAAAGCAATCATCATCGAGAGCTTCCCCTCTTGGACTTTGGATGCCAAGAGATCAAACATAAGTTAGGGGACATCAAGAGCTAACATGCAGTCAACCACAACGAAAACCAGATAGGTTCTGTGTGGCCTGTGGAAACATCACATACAGCAGAACCGTGGTTGTAGCCCTGAGTTAAAACCACATAGAGCATGCTGATTTTGCAAAATTGAAAGACAAACAAACAATAAGACATTTACCTTCCACATCAAGGCACCTAGGTGGGCTATCTGACCAGATAAGGTTATACATGCACTCAAGGAACTCTGCCCCTTCTAGTTTATATCCAGGAAAGCACTGATAATACACCACTGTTCCTACGGGGAAGGAGGACTCGAACTCAGATATGTTAATGTAACTATGAGGAAGAACCAATGGCCTCAGGCAACCTGCAAATCAAGAAAAGGGAGGTATCTTTTATTATAAGGTGTTTATCTCAGTCATCTTCAGACATCTGGCTTAAAATTCCTAAACTGAGGAGCACGAGGTTTTTCATCATCTCTACTATGAAGGGCACGTCTGCATGATCTCCCTCAGACACACACGTGTCTCATTACCGTGTTTCAAACCCCTTTATCATTTAGCCCACATGCTTTGCTAGCGTGGGATTCACTCTCAGCAAATGCAGGAAAGGTTTACTGAAAATGACAGTATTTTGTTTCACAAACATTCACTGGTTTAGCAGATGGCAACTTCTTTTTTGAGGTAGAATCTTTAATAAATAAAGATTGTCATTTATATAAACCACGAGTTTTATGCCTTCTTTTAAAGCTGACAGGCATGTAAGCCATCTTTAATATTAAAACTACTCCTGTGGCAAAGTGCACACAACTGTAAAATGTTTGCAGACAGAATTAATGAATTTGAAATTTCAGTTTGAGAAAGTCTAAAGGGGCATGACTTCCTATGAGCAGCCCCACGATAAACACTGAACAAAGTCTCAGATTAGCTTATCAAAAAGTTAAGGTACCTGTTATCGCCAGAAATTGTAAATTTAGTCAGTGACTGCATTCTACTTCTGGAATTACTTCTGAAGAACTTGTACCATGGATGATAGTAAGCAGTGACAGTTAAATGGTCACCAACCATATTTTGTGCAAGAAAGAGCAGGGAATTTAATAGATGACATGACTTTATACCGTGTCATTCACATACATTTAGAGTCTGTTTTGAGCTGGTATGTAGATAAGAGTTTGCACTAGAGAAAAAAAATCCTCATGGCCTTAGAAATGACCCTCTGGGTAATACTTAACTGTGTTGATTTTTAAATGTGTAATGATGTGGAGGAAAGATGATTAGTAATCAAGGAATGAAAAATAATATTATAAAGTTACGAGACTAATAGGAGCTGCACTATGGCAATCCATAAATAGGTCTCTTGCCACTACTAGAAATTTGTGAAGGATGTTCATAGAACTCTCATAATTTTAAGCCTGAGAGGGAAATGAAAATCACTTTGAGAACTTCTTGTGAGATACTGGCAGAAAAAGCCTCGGCAGCGCTTCAAGTGGTTATTTCCTTGCAATGGTCTTTTGAGGGAGAGAGACGAAAGCAAAAGAAAACAACAGAAAGAGCTTAAATGCTTTTTACAGCATACTGTACTACCAGAGCAATGGTTTTTATAGCTGTTTTACTAGCTGTTTATCTCCCTGCTCAAATAAAGCTTCAAGCATCAATCTACTGGCTACTGCTAGTGCCCCTGATTCAAGCATGCCCGGCACGTAACACACCGGTTCCTGCAAACTGAGCCAGGCGATATGAGCAGCCTCCAGTGGGACAGAAAAGAGCACAGACTGCCCCAGTAAGACCAAGCTTACTCTTCCCTGAACTCTATCAGGGAAAAATTTGTCCTGCTCGCTCGGAATTTTAATGCTCATTGGCTTCCTTGTAATGCAGGACAGAGATTTACTTGAATTTGCATGACAGCCAAGGGTTGGTGAAAATCCCCAGGTCTCCAAGCATTTTAAGTCGCTTGAAAACTTCATTTTGACATTTTTTTTGCCAAGTAATTCACATAATTTTAGATCAGCAATTATCATTATTATCTCAGGGCAACAATACTTGGAGGTTGGATTCTTATACACCCTACAATCCTTTCCTGCTGCTCAGGTAGGAAAAAAAAAAGGTATCTTAGTGTCATGAGATTCCTCTGCCTGTTGTAATCAAAGGCCATAGATACGTAATTGACAGCCCACCTAGTGCAAGCAGACAAGTGCTTTTGATATTATTATTGCCTAACATGGCCAAAAAGGAAATTCTGGAGACAATTTTGGAACAGGTTTATAAAATGTGGCAAAAAATACCAGGTACCTGAATCTGAATTGCCTATTCTCTACCTGCCCAGTAGTTACAGCTCTTCTGCTATTGATTTCTTAACTTTTATTAGCACTGCTTGCATTTTGAAAAGCAGTCAATATCAAATATTGAGTAGCGGTAATTGATTGTGTTTCATAGTATAAATATAGCAACAGAAGAGGGTAACAAGCCTTTTGTTTACCAGTTAATGCCAGCTGTCACAAAATTTACCCCTGGATCTTTGGCAAGTATAGTACCTGTAAACTGATATTTTGAGCATTCACCTCACCTAACTGCAAGCGTCTTATCTACTTAGATGTGAGGTGCACCCACTCTCAGAAATGGCCTGTATACTTCATAGTGCCACACACAATGCCATTGCTGACAGGACACCCCAAAACTAGTGTCCTCTTCTTATGAGTTTGTGAAAACTCCCCTTTCCCGTTAGCTTTGCTCAGATACAATGTGTGCATCTAAACCACTGAACTAGACCTGAAACGTGCCTAAATTTCTACATATCAGTGCCACAGTCTAAGACAAGACCTTGCAGGACAGTTTAATGTGTCCCAAACCTAGGGTCCTACCTGTGAAGACACCTTACAAACTAAAGTCCTGTAACTTCTCACTCTGGCCATCAGATCTTTTGCTGAACTGATATAATCCTGACTTCTTTTTTTTTTTTTAAATGCAATGTATCTGTGCCAGACTTTAGACTAGCAAACAAACAGCAATATTTAAAGTAGTATTTTAAATATGCGTATGTTCAGAAAGCGTCATGTTCTTTCTTGCAATGAGCAATGGAGGAAGAGAAATCAAAAAAAAGTCTTAGCAGCAGCACTATTCAAATACTGTACAGTGGAGCTTATCAGAACACTAACATCCTTACAATTGTAGAAAAAAATATTGACAAACTATCACAAGGTGCATGAGCTATAAAACAGGATGTGCTGGTGTACTAAACCTTGACAAATGGGCAGATTATCCCATGTTCCATCGTCTTGACATATTGAAACCATGTTGTCTAAGTCAGGGTAACGGATCTGGAATCCTTCATGACAGTTGATTATTAACTTATCGCCAGTCCTGTATGTCTTGTTATGAATCTCTGCATCTTCAACATGTGGAACAAGGCAATCTGTGACTTCATGGGAAAAAAAATAGTAACTCAATTAAAAACACATAGCTAGCTATTCAATAATCAAGCTCTTAAGTAAAAATTATCAGTTAATGTAAGTGCTCTGCTTGAACTGTTTGGAAAACACATACATTTCAGTAAATATATCTTTTCCCTAGTTAGCCATCAGTTACAAGGTCTATAGCACTGTAGCAGAAGCTGATGTTCTACAATAATGGGTCATTACCCCAGATTTTTTTAAACCAACAATATCAAGAGCATTTATGAAGGCTGTTTTTGATTTTGTCCTTCCACTCATCATATGGGTAAATTACGCCGCACAGTTTGACTATCCCAAAGCCCCATCTGAAGGCAGACTCTTTGACAGCACTAAGGACAGGACAAAAGAATAGATAAAATACAGATATGGCATGAGGAACACAGAAAAACTGCAGTTTTAGCAGAGGCACAGATGGAAATCAGGTACACTTACAAGGGTTTATCCAGCTCCACTCCACAGAGTTCGTTATGAGAATGTCTTCACTTTAATCTCATTGATTCTGTTTTCGATCAGATAATTTCATGTGCCTGAATTAAAATGCCTCTAGAGAGCGTGATTTTTAAGGCCCTGAGCAGCATTTCAAGTGCTTCTAGAAGACTCTCAACAAGGGAAATGACTACAAACCTCTCGTGCTACCCAGGCACAGGCTCTATTACCTGCCTGCGATATGTGTATTGGACAGTCTTATATCTCACTGCATACACCAGTGTCAAAGACATCAAAATATAAAATAAACTCCAGAATACTGAAAAATGAAGGATGCTGTGGAAAGTGGAAGGAAAGGGTGAGATAAGGTAAAAATCCCTCTGCTAATACTGGATAATTAAGAGACAAGCCAAGAGGACATGAAGGAATAGTCCAGGGGACTCAAAGTTCATCCTTCTCACAAATGCAAAGTGAGATTAAACAGAAAAAAAGGAAAATATTAAGTACTGGGAAAATAGAATTGGAATTATTTTTTTGTCCAGAAGCAGTAAATCCATGTCAGAGGTGGTGATAAAAATTTCCAGGCATCAAAAAATCCACAAAATATTTCAATTAAAAGCAAGATAGTTAGACTATAAGCTGGTTTTATGCTGGGTTTTTCCCCCCAACATTTCTACCACAAGAAACAATCATCTTCATTTAGGAATGCAGTATTTATTTAAAAATAAAAAAAGTTTCAGAAGTCCCTGGAGACTTGCATATAAGAGAAAGTTTCTGCCATTTTTATAGATAATTCTTGCTAAAGAGGAAGAGACAACTCTGAATTTGTACTTAGCAATTAATTTTGAGCATGCACAAAGTAAAGCGATGGCAACAGCTTGCTTGTTTGCTTAGAAGCACAGCTAGAAACAAGATGAACTGTCATTTAGCATAGCACATGCAAACTACTATAAAAAATGTATTTCACAATGCATTCATTTATTCAGGCAAACTAGGAGATGTATTATTCTGAGACTCCATCCCTCAATTTTACTAACATGCAGTGGAAGGGTGTTGCTTCCCCAGTTAAAACACATTTGTCTTTATATCTTCCTGTTACAGGGATGTTTTCTAAAATGCATTGTACTTATCTAACTTTCAGTATGGAGTCTGGACACATTATTAGTCAAAACTTCTCCCATTTCTCTTGTTACTTTCAGCATTTTGGCTGCTGCCGCAGGTACCGCCTGTCACGGGGAGGGCTGGCAGGTGGCCAGGCAGGCTGAGAACCCCGCGGCAAGACGTTTTGCTAGAATTTATCCATTTGTAAACACCCAAGTCTGGGAGGATGCACACCCTAACAGAAGGTTATAAAATGCACTGATGCAAACATCCCTTTTAAAGACTGGAAAATTTTCTCTCTCCCCCTCTCTGGCAAGTTAATCAGCAGAGGATGTCCTGAAAGAAATGCTAAGCCCTGAATGCTGTCATAAAGAGGCTGCCCTGGGCTATCTTGAGGATGTGAGGAGACAGATGGGGACCCTGCTCTTTGGCCACGCAGAAGGAGGTTGGAGATGGATGCAAGAAGATAACCTCAACGAACATCTCACTCTCTTGGCATAACAGCGTTCTGCTGCTATACAAATAAAAGAGGCATGTATACATACAGGGCAGTAATATACGAGATTTCACTTTCAAAGCAGGGGATATAGATTCTGTAACAATGACCTGTTACAGAGACTTCATCCCCATTATTCCAAGTAACAGCTATAGATTGAATTATTTTAACTGGCCTAGATACTGGCAAAGAACACTGATAAGTTGCTCCCTGAACCATCCTTTGCCTCTGACACCCTGCCTGATTTCGATAACAGGTCTATTGCAAGCCCTGGCTAAACGGGAGGCCAATGGACCACAGTATTACAGCTCTTTTTCCTGATGCCTTGTGAGTGAGCAAATGCTTTCCCACTGGCTGAATTTGTATTGTTTAGCACTTGCTCAGGCATAAATTGCAGTAGCCGCCTCTCAGCAAACAACTGGCACAAATCCTGCTTGGCAAAGCTGAGAATAAGTGACTGGATTTTAAAATGTCCTGTCCTAGAAAATAAACTGCTTTATTCTAAGTACTTTTCAGCAAATCTGTGGAAGCTGCTAAACCATTTAAGGGAATACACGGTCTTTAAATGGCATCGAACAGCAATGGCTATGACTTACACTTCTTTCTGGCAGTTTTACATGATCTGCTTATATCTGCCATGTGAATATTAAAGCAGGTCAAGCAAAAGAAGGACCTAGTTAGGAACACATTTCTTATCTTGAAGAGGGACAAAGAGGTGCAAGGGCTCATTGTGACCTAAATTTTCATGAAGATGCACCTTTGTACACTAGTAGTTCTTGGCTTTAGCAAACCAAGTGTGCCTCTCATCACAGGGAGATCAGTCTGAAGAGTAAATTTTGCTAAACACTATAGTTACAGTGCTTTAGCTTATGTGCAAACCACACATCATCTCTCAGAACTATTTCTTCCAGTCCATGGACAACAAAGGCAATTAAGAAGGTAGGCATGACCTGGACACTGTGGAGATGGTCACACCATCCAGGAGTACCAACTGGCTTGGCATGGCTTGTGTCTATTGCAGATGAACTCTTACTCTCCAAAAACTGTCCCTGATCCATGTTAATCCAGAAGGTGCTTGTATAAATTGCTTGGGGAGTATGACTTGACATCAGCAAAACCACGTCAGGGACCCTTCTAAAACTGTAGTAGTATCTGCAGTTGCGGAGCAGTGCCCTGGCCATGCTCTGGCACTGTTTTATTTATTAGTCTGTACGTAAACTCAAATGCAGAGGTCCGATGCTCCTATGTTTCTCTCTGTGGAGCAGTCTCTGAGTTAGCCTCGACCACATCTAGCCACAACACTGACAGGCTGGAACGGAGAGGAACAAGGAGGATGGATGAAAGGAACATCATGAAGAATGAGTTGAACGTGGGGACAGTTCATCTGGACCCCGTCTTCTTAAAAGCAAATACTTAAGATCAATCTTTTCTGGTTTTTTTCATTAGTGGTAAATCCATTGTAGTGTGTTAGCACAGTTCTTTGGATAGCAAACACTATTTCAGTGCATGTTAAGTCACGCTTTATTGTCTTTGCTTGTATTACAACAGTGCACACACTTTGCCTAAGATCTGCAGCCACTGTGCTAAGCACAGGTTACAAACATCATGTAAGTGCTTCTAACCAGGCTTTAGGAATCAGCAAACACTGAGCAAGGCAGATAAGAGACGGGGAAATAAAAGTATTTCAGTCATCTCAGATCCAGGGACAAAGGCCAAGAGAAACGGGCACTGAATGCTGCAGAGGAAAACTGTAGCCAAAACTAGTCCACGACTTTCGCAGGAGGTCTGTCATCCCTGGCAGTGAGAGAAAGAGGCACTGAGGACATCTCGAAGTTGTCTGCCTGCAGAAGCACTGGGAGAGAAGGGCACAGCTCTCTGCTTGGTTATCACCTCCGTGTAGACTGTAAATTTAAATTCAGTCACACAGGGAAGAGGTAGCATTTGTTGCAAGCAGGGCAACAGCCTCAGTAGCCACATTATCACAGTGGGAGAAGATTAGATTAAAGTGTGAACAACACGACATGTTGTGCTTAAACGGTATACACAAAGCTCGAACCTTAGAGCTTTGGTATTTATGTGCATAACCATGTTAGAATTGATGGAAGCTATAGTCACAACGTGCTGTAGATCAACAAGAGAATATAATTCTAAATGCACAGATTTTTGACAGGGCATTTATTGGGCACCTAGTCATGCAACTTTGTTCTTGTACTGACACTTAAAATCTCCTGCCTCTTAACGAGAAATGACAGGCCTATAAGATCAAATTGATTGGATGAAGAGCTTCAGGCAAACATATTAGTTGTAAAATCAATTACATTCCGAAACAAGTTGCTTTACTTTCTTAGGTAAGCAGCATTCATTTGTGATTACAAACTGTTCCAACAAACACACGGCAACTATTAAACACACATAACATATAGACATAAAACTATACATAACCATCCTTAGCCGAATTCAGACTCCTGAGATTAACTTCAAATGAACTCCAAATTATTGTTTCTACTGCTCAAGCTCAGCTGGCAACATCTGATATCTACACACACGGGGATGAGAGGCGTGTATAGCATACCTTGGCACACATGGCAGTCAGACCCTCCCTTAAGTGAGTAAACGAAATACAAATTTCATTTTGCCTCATGATAGCTAATGATGAATGGCAAAACATTAACTTTCTACTTCTCCAGCAGTTGCTACAAATTTCAAATCTCTTTTTTATATATCATTACAGAATTTCTGCAGTGAGGACGTTTATATATGTCATTAGACAGCTGAGAATTACACATCCTTTTATAGTCCCTCCCAAACTGCTCTCCAGATGTGCCACGTTCCTGCACAGCCCACCCTGTCGTGCCCCTCTCTCATGATTCTGCTCCCAATACACAAAAGGATCACTCTAAAAAGCACTTAAGCGAATGCTTGGGTCTCAAGATTTGCCATTGAACCTTTCCTTAGCATTTCTTCTGATTAGTGGCTGTAGTGTGCATTGGAAAGAAGAATTAATTCTCTCATCTACTTTTTTTTTCCCCCACTGCTAAACCCTGGGATTGTTTTAATAATACCTGAGGTATTATTAGACTGTTAATCAGGAAAGTACTTAAGCACTTGCTTCACTAAATCCTAAATCAGAGTCCCACTCTTTAAGCCAAATAATAAAAAGCATTTTTGCGTATGCCTAATTTTGAGCACAGAACTTTTACAAGACTAATCACATAATTACAGTTATGCTCAAGCTTAAGTGCTTTGCTTGATCAGAGAATTGGCTAGCAATCCTTTTTAAGTGTTCTGTGCTGTAAAGTAATGATTATCTCTTAAGCAACTGTTGTCACATCACTCATCACATTCTCATCTTCCCATTTCTTTTTTGAAAACACCTGGCTCGAGTGCTGATCACACTGACATCAGTGGCAGTTTTGCTGTTGGTGGCAATATGATCAGGAAACTCCTCCACAGATTTCTACTGGACTGGGGGGCTTGGGAAGTGATTCGAATATTCAGTAAAACATGTTAATGCTTATTTTAACAACTGCAGTGTATAATACAGGTACTATTTCAAAGGTGCACATCAAAATTCCTGGAAACTACCTGTAGTGGTCAAGAAAACAGATTTTCCAAGTGTTATAGCTTTTTCTGGCAGTTCAAACACCCACTTTAGACATATGCTGCTGTCGCTCCACATGTATTTTTTCTTAAATAGCCATGAGATGAGAGACAAGGGCATTTATGAAAGTGGCTGTCAACAGGAGAGGGCATGATTTTCACACATACATAATTTTTAAAGACATCAGATTGTTTCTGTGAAGCTGACCTGTGCCACCCCTGGTCTGGCACCAGATTCTCATACCCACCCGTCCATCAGCACAGACAAGTACTCGCAGTTTTTCTACCCACTGAGTGACACATGAGCCTCTGAATCAAGTGTCTTTGTGAGCCAAACAAGTCTTCGATTACTTTTGAATTAAGTCCATATATTTATCTGATTTTAAATGATGGCAGGCATCCTGAAATAGAATTTATCTAGTCCCACCTTGAAGACAATGAGGCAATGGCTAATGACTTCAGCGGAGCAGACACAATGCTAAAATGCAGACACTTAATGAAACTAACACTTTACGTGATTGTTGATTTTAATAGCTTTGTTGACCAAAAGTTAATCAACAAAAAGAACAAGTTGTATCTTTGTGAAATAAATCATTTGTGCTGCTTGGATGTGTTCTGGCCAAATTTTACTTATGATATTCAAATTAATCCTGCCTCTAACTCCTAGAAGGAGAAAGTAATTCAACATCCTATTTATTTTGAACCAAATACTATCTCAAAAATGCAATATAATAAAATTAAATTGGTTTATACCAGAATAGTGTGAATTATCTCAAAGTAAACTTCAGCTGTGACTAAACTTGTGCCACCCATGTGTATTTGATTTCCCTACTTGAATCATGCATACGTCATAAAATGTAAGTGTTTAAAGCTCCTGATTAGCAGGAGCAGTAGCACTGGAGATTTATTATTTTTTCCTAGTAAAATACTGCAACAAGGAATATTAAGTGGGCAGCTTTAATAAATAGTTACAAACAGTTCACTTACACTGGCAGCTGTTTTTCTCTTTGCATCAATCTGTAACCAGTTAAAAGGAGAAATGTACTATCTTTTTTTTTCTTCATATTTCTTTATATCCCTTTCACTATATACATACACACACATGCACAACATTTTACAGTATAAACTTAACTGGCAAATGGGGATTATGGATGGAATGGATGGGAAACCAAAGTATATGACAAATAGGACACAGTGAAATAGATTCCAGTCTTTCATGTTCTGTGCTGAGACATGGACATGGTACACGGACAAGTGAAAAGAACTGGTGAACTGCTTTAAGAAAACTGACTTACCTTCTTGTAGGCACACAGGTTTATCACTTGGTTTCCAGCTCAGGGAGCCATTAAAGTGTCTCACACAAAGTTTTTTTGAAGTACCATTAAGCCTGTATCCTTCTTGGCAATGAAACCGGACTACCACACTTTCAAAGAAAACGCCTGCACTGGGAGTCTTGTATCCATGTTCAGGAGCTCCAGGATCAGCACAAGCATGTAGGTCATCAAACCCTACGTCAGACAAAGACACAATCAAACCGTGTTCGTTTACTCCTCACGCAGCCGCAGTCCAGGTTTTTCCAGGTTTTCCATTTGACATTTAACCTTCACAGTGGGCCTTGTATCTTCCATTAACAACCGCTAGCAACCCTCCCTGGGCACTGGGCACTCCAGACACGGGAGAAGACCAATCTCCAGCTACAGCAGAAACACTCAGGTGACAGAAATACTGCCATATTGTCGTGCAGCTACCGAGGAAGCAAAGTCAACCATGCTGCTCGGGAGCTGAACTAGATGAAAATAAAGCACTTGACCCAACCTACCAGTGGGAATTGCACAATAATGTATCTGTAATTATTCTTGGGGACTCTGAGATTTTGGAGGTCTGGTACAGTCACTGGGAAGAATAATAATGTGTCAGAAGCGAGAAGAAGAGGAAATAAAGCAAATGGCATGAAACCTAACTGCCATCCAGAGACACAGGAAATAAACCAGAAGATGAGCAGCTTGGGACAGGGAGATTCCAAGCTGGGAGGGAGCTCTACCACAGGGAAAAGGGATGCTGTGATGCTGGATGTATGTGATCCCCCTACCAGCTTGGCTCGCTGGCCCTACCAAATTCTTAAAATGTTGTTATGGGAGTGCTGTATTAAAGCTCTTTACTTCCACAAAATTAACTGTAAAATAACAAACAATACCCCAACAGTTGCAATCATAAAATGTGACTGTTTATCACTTGATCAAGCTCATTTCCATGTCATTTGCATAAACTGAAGCTTTTTTTACTGCAAAGCAACAAAGATTTAGTGCAGCACTGAACAAGTGCTGCATTCTGAAGAAGCAAATAGCTTTGTGACAGGAACATCAGGTGGGCAATTAATGCCGGTGGGAGGGATGCCTGGAAAATTTGGAAATCATCATATGGTAGCTTTAATGTTTTGATTTTAAAAGGATAGTATCAGAGAGCCTCAGGTACTTCCTGTGTGGTAATGATGAAGTGCCTCAATAGTGCGGTCACAGAGAAGGAAGATATTACAGTAGACTTTTCAAAATAAATCCCTGTTTCCTGAGGCCAAATCACTCCCTCCACCAAAGGGCTTGGTGTAATGCTGTGGCAGCCAGACTGCACTGACAGTGGTAAAGCACTCTCTGTGTTTCAGCATCAAACTTCTCCCTTAACTCCCTTGGCTGAAGGCTGCTGGTGGAGACAAGAAGCAGCCCACACCGAGCCACCATGCTGTATGTCCAAATAGCTGCCCTGCCAGGAGTGGCAGGGCAGGCTGTGGATTCACCAGAGAGGACGGCATTTTCCCAACTCTATACATGGCTGATTTTACATGCTGAACTTCCCCACCAAGCTAAGATTTCCAGAAGGTGACCTGATGGCCAGAACCCAGCCCATATAACTATGTGACACGCATGTCGGCAAGTGACATCACCTATGCCCAGCCAGTGCTCCGATACTTGGGGCACTTCACCTAAAGAGATTTCACTAGCACCCCTTCTCTTTGCACTGCTGAAGCAGCACAAGAGCCACAGAGTATCGGCTCTTATGTGGTTTTATTCCTCCGTGCAGTGAGGTTTATCGTAAGAACTGAAAGGTCAGTGCAGTTAGCCAAGTTGAACTAATCTCTGAACTTCAAAAACGCTCTTCTGCCACATGGCTCAAGACCTCCAGTGCCAGTTGCCCAAGACTCTCTATCATTTGCTAAGACAACAAACAAGGAAAAATACATCATTATGCTCCTGGGATTATACACTTTAGGCAATACTTAACAATAAAGAAGGGCTGTCCCTTTTTACTGGAAATTAAAAAGAAGCTTCTTATGCTTCAGGCAGCAAATCCACATCCTTCAATAAAGCTGATGATGATCTTATTTATTTTCCATTAAACCAAGGGATAACATCACTTTTAGTTCAATTTTGTTACTTTAGTAATCTCAGAATTTGCAGTCAGGCAAAGAATATTATAATCCACCTTGAAATCTGTGTCCTTTCTTACTAGCTGCATCACGGCAAAGTACACAACTGCCTACTACTATGCCTCTGCAACAATAGAAAAAAGAAAGGTAATGAGGTCACATACAATTTGCCTGATAAAAAAAAAAAGAATGAGCCAAGCTCATTTCTCAGTTTTCATTAAGCCAAAAACGCAAAGTTAGAGATTTTGAGACCATCAGCACAAAATCCAACATAGAAGGCAAGAATGCTTTTTCTTCCCTGGTGCAGCCTAATTCTGTGACTCTACTGCCACTTTCCTGGTGACCTTCCCAAGCAAAGATTTTTCATTCCTCCTAGGGATCATTTTGTGTAAGTTGGTCTATGAGGTTCTTTTTTCCCAAGTGCAGTTTGTGAGCTTCAGAGAAATCTATCTCCAAGGGGAATTCCCAAGAAGGAACTGGAACACGAATGGAAACATTGAATTATGTACCCTCTAGTTTCTACAAAACCAGTATCCAGCTGTTATTGAGCTACTGAATAAGAGGTAGTATATGGAATCAGCACAAGATCACTGCTTCCATGCAGCATTTCCATGAAGTTCATGTTCTTGAAGCAAGAAAGAAGGAAAAAGCCTCAGGGAACAGCCAGTTAGGTGGATTACACGTGCAACATAGCAACTTCTGATGGCAAGATCAGGAAGGCAAAGTAAAGAAAACACCAGTCCCATCTTTTCTCCATAGATATCAACCGGCAGGCTTTGCCCAAATCTCAGTCATACTAAAATCAGTGGAAACCACTTGTATGACAAGCTTCTTTTCAAAGATGTACATGATCCAAGCACGAAGCTAGCGCTGTGCCACCTCTGCCTGTGCTTTAGCTGGCAAGGAGGCAAGGACACGTGCGAGGGAGGTACACGTGAGGCTGGTCGCTCTGCTGAGGATCTCCCAGCACAGAGTGGGCACTGCAAGTGTTTTGAAGGGACCATTCCAAAATAGAAAAACCAGGAACTGCTCCAATTTTGACCTGGGTTGCTCCTCTCTTGCACAAAAAATGTGCTGAGTATTTCAACAACTTATTTCGCTGAGAACTAAGTCCATTGGTCTTTTCCAGTTTAAGTATGAAACTTCCGGTACAATACTTAAGAACACGACTGCTGAAACATCCCTGAGAATTGCCATCTTCTGGTTGTCCTTAATGATATCAGACTTGGAATGTTCACATAACAATCTTTTTCATATAACATCATCTAGTTAAGCTCCAGCCTAGCAAAAATGAGTAAACACATGTCTTCAAAGAAATATAGCTTGGTAAATTACATCTTCTTTCTTTTTCACAGTCTTTAATTTCTTTCCTTTTTCAAAGCTATGTATTTAAAAGCAGCTACTCAAAGCTATGGTATTTTTATAATGGTAGAAGTCTTCTCACATTACAGATGGGACATCTTTTGCTTTGGTCCTTTTGATAACTTATGAAACCAGCCAAAACAGTTTTCAGCCAGAGCCACAAGGTAAGACTTTGGTAAGAACCATAAAAGTTACATAAATGGGAAAGCCAGTCTTTTGGTTATAATAGAAAGATGTAGGAAAGAGTATATCAGTTAAGATAAAAAATAACTTAGAACTACAATGGCTTCTGTTTCTCTATAAACCCTTCCAAGAGTCTTTGGGGAAAAGAAAAAAATTTTACTTTGACTACTGGACTTTTTCTCATGGTTATAAAGAGTGAAAGGGGAATCATCAGCACCTAATAGTAGAAACAATATAATATACTTGTCAAATAAAGCAGTAAATTTTCATGTTACCCATACAGTAAAAATTTAGTAAGGTCAGTAGCCACCATCATAATCAATACTGCATCACTAGAAACAACTTTATGGGATGCTATTGTATAGCTTTAAATCCCTAAAGTAAAGACTACTTCAGTAATGAAAACAGCTTAATATCTAGTCTATAACTTCCAGACTTTCTGTATCGTGGCACTTCTAAGGGATGTTGTGAACATATTATGAACTGTTGGACCAACAGGAGGTCATCAGAAAACAGCAATGCTCTTAACCTGGATAAAACACAAGCAGTTTATATGGCTTCCTATTTTACCTAAATTGCTTGGTATTGTCAGTCAGATAAAAATTATGTCAAATTAATCAGAAGACTGAAAAAAAAGCAATGGCCTCCTCGGGGTGTAAAATGAACTATTATAATTCATTTGAATGGCCTTTATTTCTTGAATTCTGTGTTATATATTTCAAACATACAATGATTCATCTCATCCCTTATGAAAAGCTTGAAACACCAAAAAGCCAGCGGAAAATCACATATTTGTGATGACAAGAAATTATGATAGCCGCAAATGAACTTTAGACATGCCTGAAAAAAGGCAAGAGGCAGAATCTCCCAGCTCTTCCAGTCATTCTCCATTTCTCTGCACCTTTGTCTCAGCTTCCTCTTCTGTTTTCCTTGTTTCCCTCTTCCCTCACACCCACATCTTACAGATCCTTGTAAATTCTCACAGTGCTAGCGAGGTGATTCCTCATCTAGATTTGATGGACTTCTTTGCCTCTAAAACTGCTATATAGCATTTCAGTGCCACATGCACGCTAGCTTAGAAATGGCTGCACTCCTTCTTGAGCAGATGCATCTCTCTCATTCGTTACATACACACAGTGAAGGAAAAGAGACATATAACTCATAATAATATTAGAGAGGATTTTCAGTATTTGTCTTCAGTAGGGTGGAGAATGGGCTTCTCGTACAGCAACACCTGTGCCTGGGTTCACTAAATCAGCAAGTCCTTTTTATCTCAGCCGAGGTTTGAGGGAGGCAGCGGCTTTGCAGCTCGCGGCAGGAGCAGGCTGCCTGCACGCACGTTTTATAAGGAGACTGTAAACACTGCAGGAGCGGGTTATCCTAGGCCAGCTCTCAGCAAAAAGCCATATTAGGACTAAAGCAGAAGGGCCACAAGTGCAAACATGCTGAGGGCTTGCTCGTCGCACACAAAGGAAAAGACATTTTCATCCCTTTCAGAGTTTCTGCCCCCGCTTCTGCGAAAGCCACACAGGCACAGCCTTCTGT